GGCTTCGAAATAAAATGTTTGGCTTCGAAGCCAAGCTTTGGTGCCAAAATCAAGTGACAAACAGCTTCGAAAGAAGGAAGTTGACTTCGAAGCACATTTCACACCTAAGAGTGCAGGAATGAAGGAATGCCCAGGTATTTGTTTACTTCAAAAGAATTAAAGACCTGCTTTTAGGTTTCTTGATGAGAGTAAAATCCTTCGAAGCAAAGTTTGAAATACCTTACGGTTAAAATTTGTTTGTTCTAGGTTTCAAACCAAGTTGGTTTAGTAATATACAAAAGGAATCACTTTTTTAGAATAAAACAGTGCAATCCTTAAAGGAGGTTTCCATATTTTGGAAAGTGTAGACTGTTTGTTCGAAGTAAAAATAGTTAATTTGAAACTGCTTGATTGTATTAACCATATGTTGGGAAATTGGATATGATCAAATCAAGTTTCGAAGGACAAAATTGGTAAATTCGAAGCCCTGATTTTGTTTGTTTTTTTGACAAATAGAATAAAATCAAACCATGCCAAATAAAGAGAAGACATCTTAGCTTTATTAAGACAAAAGCAATTACATCAAAAGCCTTTTTTGGTTACATATTAAAGTTCATAAAAATAAATAATAGAGTAAATGACAAGGTCATGAAATTTGTTCCAACTGTGGTCAATGAACTTCAGTTCCTTTTTAATTCTATCTTCTATCTTCTCCAGGCTAGGCTACTGAAGTTGATATGCTCTTATTTGATAAAAAAGTTTTTCGGTCTTTATTTCAAACTCTGTTTCTTTCAACCATTGTTCTATCTCATCCATGTCCAAGTCATCCCAATATGCAGAGTCTTTATTCTTGAAACCATTATATTCGTCGATAAGGTTCTCTACTTCATACCGGGTATGAACTCGACGGACTGAAATTTGGTCCAAAGATCGAGTGGTGGCCACAGAAATTTGATGCCAATGAAAAAGTAGTGGGAGTTGGTCTAAAAACATTTGGAGCTCTGCTTGGGTGATGGGGTAGAGGACATGACCCCGGGTCATAACATCACAAGCCCATCGAAAGTTCTGGAGAGGAACATCACCCTCGAGAACATTGAAGGGCAAGTGAGAAAAGGCCGCAAGCAGAAGTTGGGCTTTATATCATTCAAATATAGTAGGGAGAGATGGAGGGCTATAGGAGAGGAGAAACTGGTCCTCAAAGAGAGTATGTCTCAGTTCTTCCATCTAGTGAGGGTTTTGCGGAAGAGGAGGTGCAGGAGCTTCCATCTTGAAAGAATAAGGGAACTGGGGGTTGCTGACGCAGTCAATCCAGTCAGAAGAGCAAAGTTTTGCCTTCTGGGCTAAGAACGACGGGTTGTACCCTTGTGCCTCTTTTGGACGACGAGTAACTTGTACTATCTTTGTAGGCATGGAGGATGTGTAACCATGCTACAAGTAAATTGTCTTCCAAACGGCGTCAGCGGTCAATGGGTACATATGAGTAAACCACCGAGCTCCGAGCAAAGGGAGGAAAAGTTAGAGGATCAACAAATTCAACAAAGTGATGATTGATTCGCTCTCTTAACTTGGACTCCTTAGGTTCTGGCCAGCTTCTCCAGCCAGAAGCCTCAGAAGAAGAAGAAGCTGCAGCCTCATCCCACACAGAAGGCTGTGGGTCAGAAGAAGAGCTTCCAATATCCATGTTTACAAAATTTTGGGTTAAAGAATTGTGGACAATAGGTTCGTAATCCAAAGGTCGATAGTTTTCAAAAGCTTCCATGACTTGAATAGAAGAAGGTGGATAAAGGTGGCTAATCAATGCATGAAGGTTCTTTCGAGGATGAACAACATTGTCAAACAACTCTTCATATGCTTGATTAAGGTAAGAAAAGGTTTGTTTGGCCATGAAAGTTGCACCAGTCTTTTCGAATATTGAGATAGTAGGAATGTTCAAAGTATAGAAGAGAATTTAATGCAATTGTTTCATTGATGAATGACGGTTGCATTTCTGAAAAAAAATGCAAAGCACATGCACGTTCTAAGACGTGGATAAAATGCCTTGATCCACTAATATCACAAAGTATTGGGTATATTAGTGCGTATATTAGTGCGGGGGGTAATGTTGGCTACATATTTTGTATAGGCCAATCACAGTTCAATACGTGGCAGGATGAGGGCAATACGGGAAGATAATTAAAATCTTCAAACATAACCACACACGTGACAGTTAGCATTGGTTATTGTGGATTTGCATAGCACTGGATTAGCAAAGAGATACAAGATGACGTGGCTTTAACGGTTACTCATATATTTAAATTCAAAATCAGGAGGGAAGCCTAACTGCAGACATGGCGTAGTGGAGCTAACTGTGAGGAAACATGATCAGCAATCATGGAAGAATGATTCGATGATTATAAACTCATTTCGACGGTTATCATTGAGAAGTATAAATAGCAGAGAAGGCCCCAAAAAGAAGGACGCAGACTCAGATCCAGAAACCAGTTTTTATCTATTTTATTTTCCTTCCAGTTTTTACATTTCTTGTTCTTTACATTTCTGTACTTCAAATTTTTGTACTGCACTTCATTCATAGTAGTAGTTTCAAGTAGCTTGTTGCTATAAACCTCTACGAGACTGAATTAGATCATTGTAAGTTTTTCATTTTTATTTAATGAAATGCTACAATTGTTCTTCATTTAATTGTTGTTTGCTAAATTCTCCTAAACAAAGCCACCAGTAAAAGTCCTCTTCGTTGAGGCTAAAAGAACTGAAACACAATCGTCTGATAATTGGTTAGCAATTAATCTTCTGTAAGGACTGATTGATCCTTATTGACACGCTTAAAATTACAATACTAACCTTAGAAAGTCAAAAAAGTCAACAATTTCTCACGTTCCTAATAGGGTCTCTTTGGCTCTTTAATAAGATCAATTGATTATCAAATAATTTTTTTATTATATTTTTTTTTTCTCACTACTTCTTGATAACTTGATGGGTGTGGCTGGGACCCGTCAAGTTTTTATTAGCATCGCTCCCTAACTGTAAGTCTGAAAGACATTTGAGAGGGAGATTTATGAGCTGGAATGGGTCATGGTAAGGCCGGGCAAAATGAGGGGCCGTACATGTTTGGGCCGTGATAGCTTGGGCTAGTCCAAATAAGGTTTTGTTCGGTTGAGGCCCAGGACCATGTTGGTACCGAGCTACTTGGGCTTGTCTATGTAGAAAACCGAGCTACTTGAGTTGCTCAGCCGAGATGATTGCCTACCACGCTGGGTTCCACAATTCAGGCGTTTAGCGCGGCAGGAAGGCCTTCGGTTTGCTGGCTCGACCTATCGTGAACTCGGCCTTGCCGGAATGCAATTGAGCTCGGTCATTCTGGAGCTTGGTGAGTGGAGCACTCGGGTACGCTGCACAGCGTAGTCATGAAAGGCCGAGGTGATTCGGCCGGTCTGCCGGGCTCCGATAATATAGCCTGACGGTTTGGTTAGATGGTGATTGCAGGATTTGTGCTGACAGATGGGAAAGCAGCACCACGTGTCAAGAGACTAGTGGGAGCAGATTTGGGCGTAGAAAGTATATAAACGTGTCTGCACCCCTCATGCTGAGGGGGGGAACATCATTTTTGGTGAGAACAACCTGAACACTCAACTCTCTCCTCTCTCTCTAGATCCCTGAGTGTGTGCTAACTTGACCGTCGGAGAGGTTTTCCGGCCACACACAACCGGGTAGCTCACTGCTGTTGTGTTCGCAGGTCGATCGGACAGATAAGGAGCTTGGTGGAAAGGAGTACGGGCTCTGGGGAATATTTGCTCCCCGTACAATTGGCACTGTCTGTGGGAAGTTGAAGACAAAACCTTATCTTCCAAGCTCATCTGATCGCCTTTCATGGCAAACAACGACGAGATACCGTTGTCCGCCATTGACGGAGTTACCCTGGAGTCCGCCAGACGGAGAGACGGACTCCCTGCCATTCCACCCATGGCGGACCTGGAGACTTCCCCAGGAGGACATTCAAGAGACGAGCGGGATAAGCGCGGAAGGAGTTTTGGTCACTCTCGAAGCCCAGATGGACACCGACGGCGGAGAGAATCACACGCCAGACGTCTGGAGCACAAGTTGAGGGACCAAAACGCCATTATCCGAAGAATGGCGGCAGAGATGGAAGATCTCAAGCGGCATGTCAAAGGGAAGGGTGTTGTTGGAGTGGGAGACCACAGTAAGCGCACCCAACCACGCCGTTCAGGTAGTCAAAGCCAGCGACACACTCCCTCCCTTTCTATTACCAGAAGCTTCAGGGTTGGAGATTCCGAGACGCTTGCAGAGAAGTCCAGCGTGTAAGACAATTCCTATTAACCCTCGCGTCCGGCGACGACGTCGAGGTATTCCTACTCCGCGCACTCTGAGGACTTGCGGGCAGTGTTAAAGGAGCGGGCTCGCCGGCGAGAGACTTAGAGGGTGTCGGCGCTCCAGCGGCTATCTTACGGGGGGCATGCCAGTGAAGAGGTCATAATGCCACCACCCCGCCCAGCCGTGCCTCTCCCTCTAGACACAAATTTGGCAAGGCTGAGCGCCACCCCCTTCTCCCTTGAGATAGAAACCACTCCTCTCCCCACGGGCTTCCACCAGCCCAAGTTTGCACTCTACGACGGAAAGACCGATCCATACATGCATGTAAGCCACTTCCGGCAGGTCATGGCTGGACATAGGCGCAATGACGCTCTTATGTGCCTAATCTTTTCGTCGAGTTTGGGTGAGCTAGGCTTGAGAGGCTGCCGGAGGGAAGCATCGAAAGGTGGCAACAGTTGGCGGAAGCATTTGTGACTCGTTTCAAGACCAACACAAAAACACCAAAGGAGGTGGACCACATTCTCAATGTCAAAATAGAGTCGAGCGACACACTCAAGGCATACAACTCCAGATATTGGGAAACCTTCAACGAGATTTTTGATTGCCCGATCAACCTGGCAATCACCCAATATAAGCGCGGTCTCCCGGTCGGACATAGGCTGCGGGACTAGCTTACCATGAGCCAACCGACATCCATGGGCCAACTCATACAGCACATCAATGAGCACATCCGAGTAGAGGATGATGCGGCAGTATCCACCGCGAAAACAACTTCGGTGGCAACAGACAAGAGGTCGGCTGGCAAGGTACACGCGGTCGGACAGGAGACTAACCGTCCAAATGATCGCGCCGAGGATTCTGACCGAGGATCAAATCGTCGAAACCGGGAAAGGGGTCGTCGTAATGACCGAGATGAATACCCCCGCGATGACGTAGCTGATGCCAACAGTAGGTTGAAAGCACGGACAGACATCACCACGGTCTTTAAGATTCCAATCTATCGCATACTTAGTGAAATTCGTGACGAGGATTACGTCTGGTTTCCTGCTAAGTTAGGCGACGCACAAAAGGGTTTCAATCCACGGTACCGCTGCACATATCACCAGGAGCAAGGACACCAGACAGAGGACTGTTTGCCTCTGAAGCAACACTTGGAGGAGTTAGTCACAGCCGGACACTTGGATCTTTACATTGACGGGGGTGTTAAGGCCGCACATCCTACCCCGGCTGATCAGCATGGACCGGATGACTTGGAGGCGCTCCCTCAAGGAGTGGTTAATGTGATCCATGGCATAGTGGAGCCGGCGCATGTATGCGAGCTTCGAGGGATGATTAAAAAGGCAGAACACATGAGGGAAGCGTTATCGGTCCAGCCGGTGATCAAAAGGGGCAAGACCGAGGAGAAAGACGTGATTAGTTTCTCCACGAGGGACCTAGAGCGCATTCAAACGCCACACAACGACGCCCTAGTGGTCACACTCCGTGTCAAAAAATTTGATGTCAAGCGCATCCTGATCGACCAAGAAAGCTCGGTCGAGATCATGTACTACGGCACGCTCAAACAACTCAAACTCTGAGATACAGACTTGGCTCCGGCAACTTCTCCACTAGTTGGTTTCAACTCACAACACAGAGTGGCCTTTGGAAAAGATAATTTTATTGGTCAAAACCGGATCCGTGGTCAAGCAGGTGGAGTTCTGGGTATTGCAGGTGCCGTCTACGTACAATCTGATCCTCGGCAGGGGATGGCTTCACACTATGCAGGCTGTGGCGTCGACTTATCACCAGGTTATTAGATTCCCCTCGGTTATGGGGGCAATTGAGGAAGTTTGGGGCGATCAAGTCATGTCGAAACAATGCTTCGTGGCAGTGAACGGGAGCTGAGCTGCCAAAGGTTTCGTCCAAATGATTGAAGGACCGGAAGACCGCGAAGTCCTTGAAGATGTGGGTGCCAAGGCTGAGGACAAAGCTGTTGAGGAGTTGGTAAAAGTGCGGATTGACACTGAAAGCCCGAACAAGTTCTTCTTGCTCGGCTCAAGCCTTACCGCCCAAGAAAGGACCGAGATGGTAGAATTTTTGATGGCAAATATCGAAGTCTTCGCATGGTCGCCCTACGACATGCCCGGCATCGACCCGAGCTTTATTTGTCATCACCTCAATGTTTTCTCCGGAGCAAGTCCGGTCATTCAGAGAATTAGGAGATCGGCGTTGCACCACGCCGAGGTAGTCGCAAATGAGGTAAAGAACTTGCTTGAAGCTCAAGCTATTCAGGAAGTGCACTACCCTCGGTGGATTTCAAACACGGTCGTAGTACCCAAGAAGAATGGAAAGTGGTGAGTTTGTATCGACTACAAGACCGTCAACCGAGCATGCCCTAAAGACAACTTTTCCCTGCCCAGAATAGACCAGTTAGTGGATCTAACGGCCGGACATAACAGGCTCAGTTTCTTGGATGCCTACCGCGGCTATCATCAGATTGCCATGCATGGCCCCGACCGAGAAATCACCTTATTTACTACACCAAGGGGGCTCTTCTGCTACCGAGTCATGCCCCTTTATTTCAAACTCTGTTTCTTTCAACCCTTATTCTATCTCATCCATGTCCAAGCCATCCCAGTATGTAGAGTCTTTATTCTTGAAATCATTATATTCGTCGATAAGGTTCTCTGCATCATACCGGGTATGAACTCGACGAACTGAGATTTGGTCCAAAGATCGAGTGGTGACCACAGAAATTTGATGCCAATGAAGAAGCAGTGGGAGCTGGTCTAAAAACATTTGGAGCTCTGCTTGGGCAATGGGGTTGAGGACATGACCCCGGGTCATAACATCACAAGCCCATTGAAAGTTCTTAAGAGGAACATCACCCTCAAGAACATTGAAGGACAAGTGAGAAAAGGCCACAAGCAGAAGTTGGGCTTGATATTATTCAAATATAGTAGGGAGAGATGGAGGGCTATAGGAGGGTAGAAACTGGTCCTCAAAAAGAGTAAGTCTCAGTTTGTCCATCCAGTGAGGGTTTTGCGGAAGAAGAGGTGCAGGAGCTCCCATCTCGAAAGAAGGAGGGAACTGGGGGTTGCTGACACAGTCAAGCCTATCAGAAGAGCAAAGTTTTTCCTTCCGGGCTAAGAATGATGGGCTGTACCCTTGTGCCTCTTCTGGACGACAAGTGGCTTGTACTATCTTTGTAGGCATGGAGGATGTGTACCATGCTATAAGTAAATTGTCTTCCAAACAGCGTCGGCGGTCGATGTGTACATATGGGTAAACTACCGAGCTCCGAGGAAAGAGAGGGAAAGTTAGAGGATCAACAAATTCGACAAAGTGATGATTGATTCGCTCTCTTAACTTGGACTCCTTAGGTTCTGGCCAGCTTCTCCAGCCAGAAGCCTCAGAAGAAGAAGAAGCTGCAGCCTCATCCCACACAGAAGGCTGTGGGTCAGAAGAAGAGCTTCCAATATCCATGTTTACAAAATTTTGGGTTAAAGAATTGTGGACAATAGGTTCGTAATCCAAAGGTCGATAGTTTTCAAAAGCTTCCATGACTTGAATAGAAGAAGGTGGATAAAGGTGGCTAATCAATGCATGAAGGTTCTTTCGAGGATGAACAACATTGTCAAACAACTCTTCATATGCTTGATTAAGGTAAGAAAAGGTTTGTTTGATCATGAAAGTTGCACCAGTCTTTTCGAATATTGAGATAGTAGGAATGTTCAAAGTATAGAAGAGAATTTAATGCAATTGTTTCATTGATGAATGACGGTTGCATTTCTGAAAAAAAATGCAAAGCACATGCACGTTCTAAGACGTGGATAAAATGCCTTGATCCACTAATATCACAAAGTATTGGGTATATTAGTGCGTATATTAGTGCGGGGGGTAATGTTGGCTACATATTTTGTATAGGCCAATCACAATTCAATACATGGCAGGATGGGGGCAATATGGGAAGATAATTAAAATCTTCAAACATAACCACACACGTGACAGTTAGCATTGGTTATTGTGGATTTGCATAGCACTGGATTAGCAAAGAGATACAAGATGACGTGGCTTTAACGGTTACTCATATATTTAAATTCAAAATCAGGAGGGAAGCCTAACTGCAGACATGGCGTAGTGGAGCTAACTGTGAGGAAACATGATCAGCAATCATGGAAGAATGATTCGATGATTATAAACTCATTTCGACGGTTATCATTGAGAAGTATAAATAGCAGAGAAGGCCCCAAAAAGAAGGACGCAGACTCAGATCCAGAAACCAGTTTTTATCTATTTTATTTTCCTTCCAGTTTTTACATTTCTTGTTCTTTACATTTCTGTACTTCAAATTTTTGTACTGCACTTCATTCATAGGAGTAGTTTCAAGTAGCTTGTTGCTATAAACCTCTATGAGACTGAATTAGACCATTGTAAGTTTTTCATTTTTATTTAATGAAATGCTACAATTGTTCTTCATTTAATTGTTGTTTGCTAAATTCTCCTAAACAAAGCCACCAGTAAAAGTCCTCTTCGTTGAGGCTAAAAGAACTGAAACACAATCGTCTGATAATTGGTTAGCAATTAATCTTCTGTAAGGACTGATTGATCCTTATTGACACGCTTAAAATTACAATACTAACCTTAGAAAGTCAAAAAAGTCAACAATTTCTCACGTTCCTAATAGGGTCTCTTTGGCTCTTTAATAAGATCAATTGATTATCAAATAATTTTTTTATTATATTTTTTTTTTCTCACTACTTCTTGATAACTTGATGGGTGTGGCTGGGACCCGTCAAGTTTTTATTAGCATCGCTCCCTAACTGTAAGTCTGAAAGACATTTGAGAGGGAGATTTATGAGCTGGAATGGGTCATGGTAAGGCCGGGCAAAATGAGGGGCCGTACATGTTTGGGCCGTGATAGCTTGGGCTAGTCCAAATAAGGTTTTGTTCGGTTGAGGCCCAGGACCATGTTGGTACCGAGCTACTTGGGCTTGTCTATGTAGAAAACCGAGCTACTTGAGTTGCTCAGCCGAGATGATTGCCTGCCACGCTGGGTTCCACAATTCAGGCGTTTAGCGCGGCAGGAAGGCCTTCGGTTTGCTGGCTCGACCTATCGTGAACTCGGCCTTGCCGGAATGCAATTGAGCTCGGTCATTCTGGAGCTTGGTGAGTGGAGCACTCGGGTACGCTGCACAGCGTAGTCATGAAAGGCCGAGGTGATTCGGCCGGTCTGCCGGGCTCCGATAATATAGCCTGACGGTTTGGTTAGATGGTGATTGCAGGATTTGTGCTGACAGATGGGAAAGAAGCACCACGTGTCAAGAGACTAGTGGGAGCAGATTTGGGCGTAGAAAGTATATAAACGTGTCTGCACCCCTCATGCTGAGGGGGGGAACATCATTTTTGGTGAGAACAACCTGAACACTCAACTCTCTCCTCTCTCTCTAGATCCCTGAGTGTGTGCTAACTTGACCGTCGGAGAGGTTTTCCGGCCACACACAACCGGGTAGCTCACTGCTGTTGTGTTCGCAGGTCGATCGGACAGATAAGGAGCTTGGTGGAAAGGAGTACGGGCTCTGGGGAATATTTGCTCCCCGTACAATTGGCACTGTCTGTGGGAAGTTGAAGACAAAACCTTATCTTCCAAGCTCATCTGATCGCCTTTCATGGCAAACAACGACGAGATACCGTTGTCCGCCATTGACGGAGTTACCCTGGAGTCCGCCAGACGGAGAGACGGACTCCCTGCCATTCCACCCATGGCGGACCTGGAGACTTCCCCAGGAGGACATTCAAGAGACGCGCGGGATAAGCGCGGAAGGAGTTTTGGTCACTCTCGGAGCCCAGATGGACACCGACGGCGGAGAGAATCACACGCCAGACGTCTGGAGCACAAGTTG